AGGACAAGATCTTGAAATAGGTGAGAACAGTACCAGGACTGGCTTAGGAAACGCAAATACACGTATACACCTGCAAGTTTTGACTTTGATGCCATCAGACAAAGAAGCAGTTCAGTGACCTTAGGTCGCGTAACATACTTTTCGATAATCAACAAGAATGGCCGACCTGACTAATTGCCCAAAAGCATTTTAAAGCCGTACTGTACAAGTTCTCAACCATGTGTTCTTGTGTGCGCCGGCTTTCTTCAGCTCTCACTCCCCAGCTCGGCAACAAGCGTCTCAGGCCTCATGCGCGGCAGAGCACCGAATGCTCAGGGTCTAATGCATTTTCCGTGCCTTGGTGGCTTCTTTTTTTGAACTGCACAAGTTCTACCTACAACACTGTCAAAGTCCGCTTCAGATTGTCTCAGCGCCTAAACGTGTTCAAGGGATGTGGAAGCTGGGGTTCTTGAGAACGCTGTCAGGGCCAACCCAGCACATCGTATGTCCTTGATTTGTCGCCCTTTGCCAGCCTGATTCTTCAGGAGCTTGTTTTCTATCTCCCAAGCCTGTCCGAGATTCAAGGTCGGAGTTTACGAAGACTAAGCTTGAAGGCTTTCTGATTTCAGCAGTCGTGCAGCAAACAATTTGATGCACAATCCAGAGGTTTGCCCGTTTGACTGTGGTCGGGCTTGAGCTGTCATGTGCAAGGATGCCATGCGGAGGCAGAAAGAACCACCCGACTGGTGGCTCTGAGCAGTGTTTCTCAGCCTTTTTGAAGACGTCCTCGTCATAGGCAAAGGTGACAACCTGAGCTGAGCGTATTTCATTACTTTTTAACCGCGCTCAAAGATGAAACGTTAACTCTTAGCTCCCTTATTATGAAACGGATGAAGCCTCGAAGTTGTACAGTGCTGAAGTTGCAGCAAGCTCCAACTAGGTATGTGTTCATCCAAGTACAGCTCCGTCTTGCTGGTGCGTCCATGTGCTTTGCTACTGTCAGATACTTGCAACGCAAAAGTTGGCATGAACCGGGATCTTTGGATGCTGACCCCTGAAGCTATCGGAACGCCACTCTTCAAAGCTGGAAGGCAGTGCAGTGATGCCGAATTTTGACGTGGTCTGCCTTTGAAACAAACAGGCAGGTTCCCGTCCAAGGCCGCGACAAGCCCATCAGCTCCTGACACACGGCAGGGTTTAACCGACAGTCGGCAGTGGTTGCTTGGCTCCTTTTTGCTTAAGTTGTTCTCCATTAGTAAGGCAAGGCTCACTGCATCTTGCGAACGTGCCTCCTCCTGTACCCTCCAGTCCATGCTAATCCTTTTTCCTATCTCCCTCCTTTGTTCTTCCGCCTCAACTCCTCCACTGCTAAATCATCCACTGCCTGGGACTACTGTGACGCACTGGTCTTTGAAAGCATGAGAATGCGCAAAAAATCTCCTTTTTCAATTGGAAGC